AGTAGATGAAGGATAAATAAAATACAATACTCATGTTGGGGATTTAGCTCAGCGACATAGCGCCTGCCTGGCAAGCAGATAGTTGTGAGTTCGATCCCTGGTACCGATAAAAAGGAAAAAGACAAAAAATAAAAAATAAAAAAAAAATAAAATACAATACTCACAGGCAAGGAAATATTACTCAGGAAGAAAATTATGATACAGGTTACATCATGGATCTGACACATGCTGCAACACGGATGAATCTTACCTTAAGTAAATCAGCTACAAAAAGACAAATACTATATGATTCCATTTAACTCATTTAACAAGACGATATACTTAAATCAGCTAAAGTCAGCCGGGTGTGGTGGCTTACGCCTGTAATCCCAGCACTCAAGAGGCTGAGGCAGGAGGATCGTGGAGAGTTTGAGATCACCCTGGGCTACAAAGTGAGCTCGAGGCCAGCCTGAACTGCACAGTGAGACCCTGTTTCAAAAAGACAAAGAAAAAAAAAACATAAAACAAAACAAAAAACAGCTAAAGTGGTCAATTTACTGGCATGATGGCTCATTCTTATCATCCCAGCACTTGGGAGGCTGACACAGGAGGATCACTGCATGTTCCTCCGGGCTACACAATGAGTTCAAGTCCTTCTCTCAAAAAAACAGAAAAGGTAACTTCATGTTTTGTGTGTGTCAGCACAATTAAAAAGTACTAAAAGCAACTCTAGTTAATATAAACATAATGAAACATAAGTGCTAATATTGTCTTTCAGAAACAAGAACAGGATGCTATTAAAAAGAATGAGACATTGCTCTTAGCAATGACAATTTTACGCGTCATGAAGAGAACTTTAAAAACAAAAAATCTGGGCTGGGGATGGGGGTGCAGCTCAGTGTTAAGTGTACTTGCCTAGCATGTGCAAGGCCCTGGGTTCCACTTCCAGTGCCACTAAAGTGGGGGGACAGAAAAAGACAGGGAGAGATGAAGGGCAGGGGAAAAAAAGAAGAAAAAGAGAGAATTTCTAACAGAAAATTTGAAGTAATGCCCCAGAAAATAGAATGTTCTTTTAAAATGGAAAATTAGAGCATTTTGGGAAAACAAAATAGAGGATCAACTAGGAGATCAAACGAAAGAAAGAAAGTATAATAGAGGAAATCAATACAAAGAAGTATCCCCAAAATTGATTTCTAAGATTATACGTGATTGGTTTCCTGATTAAATGGCCCATCAAATGCCCATAGTGAGTGCACATTATCATGAAACGAAACTGTGGTCCCTAAAAATATCCAGACAGAAAAATCATGTTACACACATAGGATCAGGTTTGTCATCTGACTGTTTATCTAGATTTGCTTATTTGTTATTTATTTTGCAGTTCTGGGGATCAAAGCCAGAGCCTCAGGCATGCTAGACAAGTGCTCTGCACTGAGCCACAGGGTCAGTTTGACTTTTTAACAGAAACCATGAATCCTGTCTTCACTTTGGCGGGGAAGGGTGGAGGAATTTATTTCCAATCCAAAATTCAAAACCAAGCCAAACTATCAATCAAGGACGTTGGAGTAAATGCCCTGGTAAAGCCAGGGAGATGAACAAGGGAATTCAGAAAACAGGATTAAAGAAAATCCCTAGGAAGGGAACAGAGCAAAGTCCCAGCACCACAGCCCAGAAGCCTGTGGAGTAAACAATCTCCCCAGGAGCCCTGGGAGGACACCTGCAGGGAAGAGGGCTCTAAGAGACAAACAGCTTCAAAGATCTTTGTTTCCATGTGCCCAACCAGGTCAAAAGGAGTTTTCAGGTTCTGCTGGAGAAAAGTTGCCTAATAAGGGGAATAGAACCATGGCACACTTCCAGAGTGAGCTTTGAACACTATTTACCAAGTCGTAATAATTAAACACTGAATATTGCTAACAAGGATCAGTTGCAACTAAACTAGGGGGGAGGGAGAGGGAGATAAAATAGCAATAATCCTTATCTTCTAAATAGGAAGGCAACAGGTAATGATTGAAAACTGGGAAATCTGAATTAGACCTGTCATTTAGAGCTATGGAAGCGTGTACCGGAAATGACACCTAAACTGTGTAAAAGAGTGGTGGCCGTTTTTGGAAGTGAAAATTGAGGATGAGTTAAGAGATTGTTTGGGATTTTTAATTAGGAGCCTACTATAAACTAGCTATTTGACTTTTAAAAATAATACCAGTAGAAATATGGTAGAAATAAAAATTAAACTAAAAAAAATCTGACTACAGGCCAATCTACAAAGCAGTGATGACTCGGCACAAGTCTGGAGTCCTCCTCGTGAACTGGGGTGAAGGCAAAGTGGGTAAGGGAGTAGCCTGGAGGAGCCCTGTAAACTGAGGCAAGGGAGAGGAAAATCCATGCCCGAGGCCAGATGAGTGGCTAACAAAAAAGGAGTTAGTGAGTATTAAAGTGATAGATAAAAGGGTTTACAACAAGGGCTGCCTTACTAGTCCAGGAGGCTCTACAAAAACAATTGCTTGTGTGGTGGCCCAAGCCTTTTATCCCAGCACTTGGGAGGCTGAGGCAGAAGGATCAGTTTGAGTTCAAGGCCAGCCTTGAGTTTACATAGTATAGTGAAGCCCTGACTCAAAACAAAACAAAAGTATTGCATTAGCTGTTTTGGGGGGTTTTTTTGAGTTAGGATCTCACTATTCAGAGATCCTTCTGCCTCAGCCTCCCAAATGCTGGGTACAGGCATGTGTGTGTGTGTAATCTTGATTTAGCTGTAGTTTTATAGGTCCTAATCACCTGTACACCTAAGGATTTGTCCTAACACCAGAACAGCAGCCACACCCCCAGGATTAAGGAATGTAGCTTCCCCAGACTAGAGAGGGGACAGGGAGGCTTCCAGTTTGCCTGTTGCTCATCTCTAGGCAGGAGGCTTGAGTTGCCAGAAAAAATGCAGACAATACTTGGCCCCTCTTACACTTTAAAAATTGTTTACCTGAAGTTCAGTTTAATTTGAACTGTCTATGTTATACCCCAGCAACACTAAGGACGCAGCACTTGCCTTCTAGCAAAAGCTTGGAGTTTTTCTGCATCTTGCAAGCTAAGGCTTTGCCTCTGTCCTCTCCTACTCCTCCTTGCATTCAGCGTTAGGAAAGGTCAAGCGAGGTCAGGAGAGTGCGCACAGGAAACCCAAGGTAGACCCCAGCAGAATTTTTCAGTGAGCAGATTTGCAGGTCGAAACCTCATGAAATCTTTGTTTGTTGGGGACTGAATCAGGACCTTGCACTTGCCAGGTAGGTACTTATGCCACTGAGCTACACCTCTGTCCTGAAGTCCTTTCCGTAAAGGGATTTGGCTGGGTTAATATCTCCACTGGTCCAAGGGGCAAATTTGGTGCTATGAAAAGCACCCCAATGACCCCTAGCTTCACTGAGCGTGTCTTCTTCCCGGAAATGAGGACACATCTTGGGTGGGACAGTGGGGAACTTCTCTGTCCTTCTTGTATGCATTTGTACCACAAGCACGTATTAGTTTTATAATCAGCAAAAAGCAATGAAGACATTATCATATTGAAAATAAAACTCATCTGGGGCAGACCAGAGCAGAGCTCCCTCTAAAGCAAGTATATGCAGTTCTAAGTAATTTCCTGTTCTTTATTTGCATATTATTTTAGGAGCACTCTGTAACCCCCTGTGGTTTGTTATTTGACCTTTATTCCCCCCAGGAATTATGAACCCAGGTACTTACCACCCCTGCCTGCTGTCCCAAAGAAACAGCCATCTTGTCACTGCTCCCCACTGATTCACTGGGTTTGGCTTAGCTTAGAACTCAGCCCCCACCCAGACCTGGACTGACCATAGTAAATAAGACCGATCTGCTTTTTCAGCCCTGTCACTACCCCTGTGCTGTGTTTGGTGCCAGGCCTGCTGGGTGGTAGTGAGAGGAGAGGTTATCAGAACCGGGAAGGGCAGAAGTAACCCCTTTAAGCAGCTGGAGTCAACTTCCAGATTTAAGGTAGTGGTGGTGGCTGCTGGGAAACTGTTCTTGGACTATCAGGGGAGGAGACAGTTAGGGAGTGGTGATTTAACAAGCTCTGTAAGGGGAAAAAAAGTGTCCCCACACCCAAGATAACTGTCTTTCAGTACTGTAGAACCCCTCCAAAAGGCTGGTCACTCCCGCGAGCCCCAGAGGCTGGCAAAGTCCCCATCCATAGGCAGCAGAGGTAGACCACTGACTCCCTGACCAGAGGGGGCAGCCTCCCCCTCACGAAGGCCCTCTTGGGGCTCTAGATCCAAATCTACCTGCTACCAGCTTTGTGACCTTGGGCCAATCCTTTAACTGAGTCTGGGCTGTCCTGCGAATTAAGTCAGATAACCAGTATTATCCACCTGAAAACACAGGAGTTCACAAATAATTTAATCTTCAGAGAGCCCAGAGACGGCACTTTGGCCAGAGGGCCTGGTTCATCTGCAAGTCCCACAGCCACAGCACTGCTCTGGAAGCCCCCTCCTCGAAGACTGCCTTCTCTGGCTCCCTCCAGGTGACCAGCCCCTGGAGCAGGGGCAGGCCTCCCTGCTCAGGCGCAGGGCCTGGCCCACGACCTTGGGAGAACCTGAAAGAAAGCTTCACCAAGTCACAGTACTTTTCCACTGCACTGCTCGGCCACCTCAGCTGGCTTTATGCTGTTCAGACAGGATGCAAAGTGTGCCAGGCTGGCCCTATTAGGAACCTACCCTAATCCTACTCTCAGAAATGGGAGTAGGGACCTGCTGTGGGTGAGGGGCGGTAGGAATTCTAGAAAGGGGGGTGGTCCCTGAATGAGCCAAGGGGAAATCGAAGCCAACTAGTGAGAAATTTGCACTGGCAAAGCCCTCCGGAATATTACAGGCGACTCCTCTCCTAACCGCCTGTCCCTCCGCCCCTCTCCCTTCCAATAATAATGATTAAACCTCTTCCACCGCGCCAGGGCTGGGTCTCAGGGCGGCGCGAGTCTGCGCGGGGCGGGAAGTTGGGGGGAGCGAGGGAGGGGACTGGAGAACTAGCGGTCCCGCCCGGTGATGTAGGCAGCCCGGGGAGGTGGAGCCGCGACGCCTGGAGGAGTCCCCACCGCAGCCGCGCTCCTGGTCTACCCTACCGAGCAGCCGCCAGCCCCGGCTCCGGCGACCTCCCTGCCGCCGCAGTTTGGGCAGCGGGGACCGCGAGAATCCCCCCATTCGGTCTTTTGTGGGGGGCGTGCCTGCTACCCCCTGCCCGCCCCTGCCCTTCCCTGCTTCCCAGACGGCTGGAATCACTCCCGGGGGAAGCTATTCCTGGCCGCCCGAGCATCTCGGCGGCCAGCCCGGCTGGGCACCAGACATCTGCGAAGCTAGCCCCGCCCGGCACTGGGCATCTCGGGCACCGTCTATCGCCGGCGCCGCCCAGCTTCTCGCCACTCCGGGGTGGAGGGCTTCTGCACACTTCCCCTCCCCCCAGCCGCCGGGCAGGACGCCTGCGAGTCCCCGGCGCCCCTGGCCCCTTTGGCCGCAGCGATGCTGCCCTGGAGACGGAACAAATTCGTGCTGGTGGAGGATGAGGCCAAGTGCAAGGCGAAAAGCCTGAGCCCCAGGCTCGCCTACACGTCGCTGCTCTCCAGCTTCCTGCGCTCCTGCCCGGACCTGCTGCCCGACTGGCCGCTGGAGCGCCTGGGCCGCGTGTTCCGCAGCCGGCGCCAGAAAGTGGAGCTGAACAAGGAGGACCCGACCTACACCGTTTGGTACCTGGGCAACGCTGTCACCCTGCACGCCAAAGGCGACGGCTGCACCGACGACGCGGTGGGCAAGATCTGGGCGCGCTGTGGGCCGGGCGGGGGCACCAAGATGAAGCTGACGCTGGGGCCGCACGGCATCCGCATGCAGCCGTGCGAGCGCGCCTCCGCGGGGGGCTCGGGGGGCCGCAGGCCGGCGCACTCCTACCTGCTGCCGCGCATCACCTACTGCGCGGCGGACGGGCGCCACCCGCGCGTCTTCGCCTGGGTCTACCGCCACCAGGCTCGCCATAAGGCCGTGGTGCTGCGCTGCCACGCCGTGCTGCTGGCGCGGGCGCACAAGGCGCGCGCCCTGGCCCGCCTGCTCCGCCAGACCGCGCTGGCGGCCTTCAGCGACTTCAAGCGGCTGCAGCGCCAGAGCGACGCGCGCCACGTGCGCCAACAGCACCTCCGCGCCGGGGGTGCAGCCGCCTCGGTGCCCCGCGCCCCGCTGCGCCGCCTGCTCAACGCCAAGTGTGCCTACCGGCCGCCGCCGACGGAGCGCGCCCGCGGAGCGCCGCGCCTCAGCAGCATCCAGGAGGAGGACGAGGACGAGGAGGAGGACGAGGACGAGGAAAACGCGGAGGAGCGCGAGGGAGGAGCCCCGCATGGCGAGCGGGCCGAGGTGCTGAGCCTGGCGCGGGAGCTGAGGACGTGCAGCCTGCGGGGCGCCCCGCCGCCGCCGCCGCCGCCTCCCGCACAGTCCCGCCGCTGGAAGGGCGGCCCCCGGGAGCGCGCGGGCCAGGCCCGCTGAACTCACAGCCTCGAATCCGGCTGCCTCAGCGGCTCCCCTGGCCCCCGACCCCGCCTCCCTCGTGGTCTCAGTTGTGATCGCCCTGTCCCTCGTCCTGGCTCAGGGTGACACCTGACATGCCCTTGATTATTGGGGTTGGGGTACCCCCCTTTCTCCATGCCCGGAGTTTTCCAGGCTGTCCATTGTGGAAGTGTCCCCGTGCTTTGCACCACGTCTTTTTGTCCACCCACTTCCCTGCTTTTTCCAAAACATCCTCTCAGGAGAACCAGGGAGAAGTTTCTAGAAATCCAGAAGGTGGCCCTGGTCAGGGCGGAGGCAGTGGCCTTGCCCTTGGTTCCCTCTAGTCTTCTTGTGATAAGAACCAACTGGAGAGGCCTTGTAGGTGCAGAATCCAGTGGCTGGGGAGAATTGAGGCCAGGTCCCTGATGGGTGCTGAATCTGGGGTCATAAACAGAGGCAGGAATCCTGGACTCTGCTCAGCCTCTCTACTTGTTGGAGGACTCCTGGAACTTCACTGCTCTGCCTCAGGAGAAGACTAGGCTGGGCCTACTGATGTCCAAAGGATAGGCTGGGCTGGTAACAGCTCTGACAGTGCTGCGCAAGCCAGGGCCTTGCACTCCCACAGGATCACCCCTTCTCTGCAGACAGATAAGTATGAACCACTCTAGGTGTCCCACAAACAGCACCAAGATGGGCCTCCAGAAGGCGGTAAGGGAACCTTCAGCAGATGTGTGGAGATGTGGAGACACAGATTCCCCAAGAGAGATGCTCTGATGTGCAAGTATGGCTTGATAGCAGCTGGATTCACATAGCGAGATGAGGGAGGAGGGTGTGTCCCCCCAACAGAGGGAGTGGGCTCCTGCCCAGCAGTCTCCACAAGGTCACCAAAAATCCAAAGATCTACATGTCACCAACTGATCATTGTAAATAAAACGGATCTGCTTTTTCAGCCCTGTCACCACCCTTGTGTTACATTTGATGCCAGGCCTGCTGGGGGGGGCAGGTGGAGGGGGTGAAGATATCAGAACCCCGAAGGGCAGAAATAACCCCTTTTAGCTGCTGGAGTCAATTCCCAAACTTGAGGTGGTGGTAGCTGCTGGGAAACTGTTCCTGTACTGTCAGGAGAGGAAACAGCATGTGCCTTTTCTGAAAACCATGTATTCCAAGCCCTTGTGGAACATCTTCTGTCTGTCTGTCTCTCCCACAATGTCTGCACAATGGGTGCTCAGACTCAAGTGTATCTGGGACATTTGGCAAGGAGGGAGTATTGACTGAACCAGGGGTGCCTTTTGAGCTCTATGTTTTTGAGAGGTTTTATGTTTGTCACTGCACATGATATAGATTGTGTGTATGTCCTCCTCCCGATGAGTGGAAAGAGGCTGTCAGGGAAAAGGAAGAGCAGCTCAGTTTTCTTCCAAAAGGCTGGAGAAATCTGTCTGGACCCTTGTGGCAAGAGTGAGTCTTGAGCGCAGATACCTTCTTTATACTATACTGAGCTGGGCACTGATCCCAGAGTTACCCAGAGCCTACATGAGTGGCTGCTGCCAATGCCAGTGATCAGAATGATTCTGTTTCTCGGAACTGTCAGAACACGGTGCTGGGGCCACCTCACATAGTAGATCCCATGCAGGGTCCAGAGAATTCAAGAGAAAAAGCTGGGACTGATTCCACACGTCAGGGGTGAGAAGCCCCCACCTGGCAAGGATGTTCCACATGTCCATTGCTTTCCTCTCATACCTTGCCAAGGTTTTTGTTGGTGTTTTTCCCACTTGCAAGAGGAAAGGAAGTGAGATGTCACTCTCATAGAAGAGGATGATGGGCTGCAAAGAGCCTCTGGTGCTGGCTGAGACAAACCCAGAAAGAAGGTCACAGCGCACTGTCCTTGCCAGAGGCATGTACAGGTATTGACATGGCACCTGCCTTGCAGCTGGCACTGGGCTAGGTGCTGTGGGTCCTGTAGGTCCTTTCCTATGGCTCTTCCTCAAGTGAGTTGCACATTGTTAAAGAACAGTAATTGCTGGGTAATAATTCACAGGCCGGCTCCCAGCCCCTGCCCTTAACTTTTTTCTCTGGCAGCCTGCCGTCTCACACACGCATGCACTCACAGCTTCCTCCTCCTTTACGCAAGCTTTGCTCCCTAGACCTGGGATTAAAAGGCCTGTAAATTGTTTCACTGGCCATATCTCCATTTGTGATATGCATGAAAGGAACACCTGGTCCTACATCCCTCTTCTAGCCAACTGGGAGCAAGGTAAGTCATAGTGAGCCAGCGCTGCCCCCGCTGCCACCAGGCCACAGAGTAAGGTGTTTGAGGCTGTGTCAGTCCCCAGGTCCCAGGCAGCACGGGCTCCTGAGCGAGAGGCCACGCCCACTTCATCCATGCACATCTTCCAGTGTCCTCTCCTGATCTTAAGCTCAAGACAGAGGAAAAAGCCCTGAACCAGGAGTCAGGTGGCCTAATGCCCTGGTATCTCTTTACTGACTTCAGATTCCTCATCTGTAAAATGCAATTAGGAGTGGACTGGATCATGTCGTTGTTTTTAATTTTTATTTTACTTATTTGTTTTTCTTTTCTTTCTTTTTTTTTTTTTTTTTTTTTTTTTTTTTTTTTTTTTTTGTCCTTTTGAGACGGGGTCTTTCTGTGCAGTTCAGGCTGGCCTTGAGCTCACTTTGTAGCCCAGGCTGGTCTCAAACTTGCAACGATCCTCCTGTCTCAGCTTCCTGAGTGCTGGGATTACAGGCATGAGCCACCATGCCCGGCTTATTTGTTTTTATTTTTATTTTTTGTCTTTGAGACAGGCTCTCACTATGTAGTTCAGGCTGGCCTTAACTCACTTTGTAGCCCAGGCTGACCTCAAGCTTGCAACAATTCTCCTGCCTCAGCCTCCCAAGTGCTGGGATTACAGGGGCATGCCACCACACCCAGCTGGATCAGTTGGGTCTTTTTTTTTTTTTTTTTTTTTTTTTTACTTTTCTTTCTTTCTTTTTTTTGGATCAGTTGTTTTTAAATCACAATTCTATTTTTAGATACCGAGAATTAAACTCAGAACCTTGCACTTGCCAGGCAGGTGCTGTGCTGCTGAGCTATATCCCTGGACTAAACCACAATTCCTGAGTCCCAGATTTCCCAGGAGTGTCCCAGGAGCTGCTGCAGGGAGCACCGGGTAGATCAAATGGGGAGGCTCCCACACACCGCTTTAACTAGAGCAATGTGTGTTTTCTGTCTGGGGATTCTGCGAGTCTTTTTTTAAATCATGAGATGTGATGCTCTCAAAACTCCCTTCCAGCCCTAGGGCTCTGAAGTCTGTCAACTGACTTGGCCTGAGATGTATTTTTGGAGCACTTAAGAGCTTATTAAATCACGGAGGTGGAGGGTGGGGGAAGTGCGCACTCTGTGAGGCCTGTACCTCAGGGATTAGGGCTCTTCTGGGATATCTGGACGTACCTCCATCTCTCTGAATCCCACTCCAGAGGGCTGGACTGTGACAGACAGTGCAGAGTCATCGGCCCACTGAGCAACCATCCTGGTTCCCCTGCGGTCTCCTACGCTGCTTCCCTGCTGGGTGGAATTACTTCCTGCCTGCAGGCCTCTGCTCATGCTGTTCCCACTACCTGGAATGTCCCTCTTTTGACCACACACTTTCAGTCCCACACTTCCAAAGCCCAGCTCCACCCTCCCCAAATTTTCCTTAAAGCTTGCATCTCCTCTACTCCTGCCAAACCTGGAGGTGCTCTCTGCCCTCACATCAAACTCACCTAGGACTTGATCTGCGGTTTTCCCATGGCCGTCATCCTGTTCTACCTTATAGTTCTCTTTTTATGTCTGTGTCTTGTCTTTCCGGCCAGCCCACCTTCATGTCCTGCTGTCTTCAGTACCTCATCCACAGTAGGGCAGAGAGTCAGTGTTCGGTAACAATTTATTGAATGAATACATGAATGAAAGAGCCAGATGGAAGAGCCATCATGGACCAGGAAACCAAGTGGGTGGAGAAGTGCTTCCTCTGCCAAGCTTCTGCCTGGAGGTGCTGGAGGAGAGCTGTCCTCAGACGCCCTGTTCAGACGGCTGACTGTGGGAGATGAGATCAGCGGCCAGGAGAGGAGAGTCAGTCTCCAGGTTCTGTTTGCAGCTCCGGAGCTACAGGACTGGGCCTCTCGTTCTGGTCAGTCCCGTAGCACAGAGCTGACTCTCCAAATGTACAGCAGTGCCTGGAGACGCTAGACCACTCTCCAGACTGGGGGGGACTGCACTCGGGGTGGGTGGTGGGAGGACCATCTGGAGAGTCACTGTCTATTTAATATGCAGACGTCAAACCTAGGCTTTAAAGGCAGACCCTTGGGGACCACGAATCATACAGAGTCTGGGGTGTCCGAGGCTGTTCTTTGGGAATAAAAGGCTATGAGTCTGCTGGAACTTTAGTATTTACTCATTATATCTGAGTCAAGCGCAATGTGTAAAGGGTAGTGAGTGGAACAGTCATGGCATCTGCAGTGGGCTACAAAGAACAAAGCATTCTTGCAAGGACAAGGATGGGGGAGGCGCATAAGGAAATGGTAGTTTCCCCAGGGATCTTCCGCAGGTCTTATCTTGCCCTGTGGGCGCCCATGGAGGTCATTAGCTTTAGGGCTTTGGACTGTGACCAGAAAAGATCAGAGTTACCGCGTTCCAGTCTGGCTTGAGTTCCAGTCTGGCTCAAGCGCAGAACAAGAACGGCCTCAGACATTCCCTAGACTCAGTTTATAATCTGTGGCCCCAACAGCAGACAAACTCACGACTTCAGAGTCAGGAGGTTTCAGGGCAAGGATCCAAGAGGATGCTGGAGGCCCAGCCATCATAAAGGAGGCCTCAGCTGGGAAGCTTGGGCCAGCTCTGCTGCACACTGGGAACCCTGAAAACCTATAGAACTGGGCTGTACTAAGAAGCACAGGTAAATGCTTGTTCTTGGCTGCTCTGCATCATCCATTCTCTTTATTAGTGGAGACTGCTTCCTCTTCCTCCCAGAACCACTCCTCGAGTCCATTTCCAGTCTCCCCTCTACTAAATGTGGTCATGTGATTGCATTGTGGCCAATAGAACTGTGAGCCACTCTCAGGCCTGGATCATAAAATACATGACTGTTGTGTTACTCCTGTGTGTTATGCCCCCCTCATTCATGTATCAGCGGTTTAGCCTGAATGCAGGAATGTTCAGAGGTAGCTATGGAGAGATGATTAAACCATGATGACCCTAACCCATAATAGATTACTCCATTGATGAGTTCATACCTGAGTGGTTGTTAGGAGGTGCAGCCCAGCTGGGCAAAATAGGTCACAGGGAATATGTCCTCGTGCAGGAGAACCCAACTTATTATGAACTAGGTTGTACAGCAAGAGATAAGGAGTGGACAAGCTGACAGCTGTTACAGTAGCAAAGCTTCATCTGTATTTACACCTGTTTCTCAGCAATCACATTATTGCCTGAGCACTGCCTCCTTCAGATCATCGCTGTGGCGTCAGATTCTTAGAGGAGCATGAACCCTACTATGAACTTTCCTTTCAAGTGACCTAAGCTGTGGACTCCTCATGAGCTGCTAATGCCTGAGGATCTGAGCTGGAACTGAGGCAGTGATGCTAGCACAGGGGAGTAGCTGCAAATACAGGTGAATATTATCAGAGAGGTTTCACTAGAGACTATAATAAATCAGTGGCTTGCAGATGCATATCAAAACTGCAACAGTAAGTGGCAAATGACAATCTAGTGACAGCTGTTACAGTAGCAAGTAAGTTGATACAGTTCAACTGTACAGGTGCCTCTGGTGACAATTTTTGAGGTCGTTTATTGCAGCACATAGTTTACTGAATCCACCTGTTCACCACTCAGACCCAGAAGTCGTAGTGAACCTGCCTTCTCTTGGGCTGCAAAGGAGGACTCTGATCTAGAGGTGACCAGTCAGAATATCCTAGCCCCTTAATCATAGACATTGATTCAGAAAAGGGAATGTACGGTGGTAAGAGCTGATGGGACTTCACTCTGGGAAGTGTTTGTTGAAACTATTGGGAAGAATGGTATTACTTTCTGTTGAAGTTGCTGAGAGGGTGGGATATATGTCTAGTGCTGCTGGCAGCTATTTTGCCACCATAATAGAGAACCCAAGAAAGAGTAACACAGCAAAAACTGAATGAGAAACAGAGAAAGAAGACGGAGTCCCAAGGCACTGCTGAAACTCCGGGCTCCCACCATGCCTGCCCAGGCCTAGAGCTTTCAGTTTCTTGAGGCAGTAATTTACGACTTTTGCTTAGGCTGTCTGAGTTGGGATTCTGTCCTTTGTGTTTCGGAGAGCACAGGCCCCACCACTTCTGTCCTCATCAGATTCCAGGTCTGGAAAAGGAGTAATGCTGAAAGATTGTAGGATCTGTTATACACCTGATGTAAGACATCCAGACAGCCCGTGGGATCTGGAAGTCACAGGCTGTTTCTCTCTCCTCATGAGAAGCTAAGTCCTGAGGACCTGACACTGTCGCTGAAGCCTGGATTTCTTCCTGGCTCATGGTACCTGTCTCTCTGTGCCTTTGGTCTTTGGTCAGTATCTGGCTCTGACAATGAAAAAACATCTCTTCGTTTCAGTCCACCCAGAGCCTTTGCCTTCATGCAGGTGCCAGGACATGAGGCTTGTTGGCAGTTACCCAGAGGTTATAGAGTGACCTCTGGGTGGTCACTGGATCACGAGTCCACACTAATCCACTTGGCTATACCTGAAAAGTAACCTCCCAAGATATTCTCCTGACTTACTGTGTTGATTACTTTTCTCTCATTGCTGAGACAAAATAATCAATGCCCAAAATGAAGAAAGGAAAGGTTTATTTAGCTCACAGTTTGTAGAGGTTTCAGACCATAATCAGCTGATTCCAAGGCGGAGTGGAACATGGCAACAGTTCATGGCAGTGAAAAACAGCACAAGCAACAAGAGAAAAGCATAGATAGAGGACTCTTTCTGTCCCTTATATTGCATGCAGGCCACACCCACTCAGGGGTGGCACTCAAACCCTTAATTCCAGCATTGGATCATGAGTCATTCACAAAGTCTAGAAACGAGCTTCCCTGATTGCATGAGGTTTTGGGGGGACACCCAGACTCAAACCATAGCATTTACTAAGCCAGCCTGCAAGGGAAAGGACCTCTTTTGACAATGCATTTTAATTATTCAGTCCAGGATGTGGGCCACTCAACTACTCCATGTCTCCATGTTCTCCTTACCCCATTCATCCCAGCCTCAAGGGTTACCTGAGTGGCAGTGAAACAAGCAAAATAGAACTCCTAACCTGTTAGATGTCAGATGTGCCAAATTAGTGTTCCCTAAAGCCAAAGAATGAATTCTAAAGGACAAGGGAGGTTAAGAGTAGGAAAGGTTTATTGAGAGATGGTCCCTGAGAGACAAGAGTGTCCTGATGGGTTGCCACCAAGGCCAGGAGTACATAGAAAGAACAGGCATTTGGGGGAAGGGATGGATCCAGATGCTCTGGACACCCTGCTGGGCAAGTAATGCCTGTTTGGACTTACTAGACCAGGTAGCGCTAATTACAGGATGACCTCAAATTATCCCTTAGGGAGGCATGTAGGTCTGGCCATTGCATCTTTATTTTGAGGCTTGGTCTTCTTCAGATGCAATGCCAGACACAGTTCCGATGTCTATTTTTCACTGATTTGAGAGCCCAGTCCTTCTCTATGTATTAATTTTTTATCTAACTTAGCTGCCTATAATAATAGGACATGTAAATGAGATAGGTGACCAAAGAGCTTTGAAAACGATGGAGTACTGAGTACCAGCAAAGGTGCTAGGGTAGGATGCTTCCTTATTGGCCTCAAGAGAAGAAGGCTGGAGGGAGACCCCCTAAGTGCCAAGGCTGCACTCTGAAGGAGAGAGCCTCCTGCAGGGAAATGAGCAAGGTGGGGTGTGGAAGATCAAATGTAGCCATCTTTGGGAATTTTCCGGAGGGGAGAATGAAACGACAAGGACATGGCCCATGGAGGCTCCGTAAGATGCGCTCTGCAGTCAGAGGAGGCCTGAGAAGGGCCTGAAGCCAGGGCTGCAGGAACGGGGAGGAGGAGCCTGATATCTGCTTCTCCTGCCATGAGCACGCCTGTGATCCGGCATCCCACAGGGAGAAAGAATGAGAATTTTCATCAGCCTTTGAGACAGCAGGGAAGCAGGGAGAGAGAGGGACATTCCCATAAGATCAAAGTGGGCACCGCTCATTTCTGTTACCTCACCGGTCCCCGAAGCCTGGCAGACTCAGAGATCCTGCCTCACATCAACTTGGGGCCAAAATCCCTTTAATAATCAGAGTGCAAGGGAGAGTCTTCCAGCCTTTGTGGGGGGAGCACACATGGGGATAACTGCCTGGGGCTCAGTAGTACCCAGAGCACAGCCGATGCTGTTAGCAGGACATAGATACCTGCTATGAGACTTTCCTAGCTGTTAGACTCCTTAGAGATGGATTCAACTCCTCTTACAGTTTCAAAATCAATGAAACAGCAAATGAAAGGAAAGAATGATTCCCGCCCCCTCCAGCCCCTCTCCGCTCCCCCAGCCCCAGCCCCTTGCATACATGCAGTCCTAGGTAACTAAGGCCACCCACCTGGGGTGTGTCCTCCCCACTTTCTTTGCAAACACAAACACCCACAAGTGCTTATACACATAGTAGTGTTCTTGTTGATTTTCACAGAAACAGAATCATTCTCTAGCACACTCTTTTGCAGCTACCTGTGTTCGTTCTTACATTGTGCATCTCTCTCCCGCTCATTGGATGGAAGTCAAATTCATTCCTTAAATAACTGTATGGTGTATTTGACTGTTCTCTTTAACATATGCCCAGGTTGTTTCTATTTTGCAAAAGTGTCTTAAAAATGTCTATCGTGTTCAGGTCACCGAACCACACTTGCTGCAAGGAAGAGAAAACACAAGCAGAGCAGAGCAGTGTGTGGGCTGAAAATTAATAGGATAAGAATGAATTCCTGGTGCCGCATCTCTCAGCCAGGAGGGCCCTTAGGATGAGAAGCCTGATCCTTGGATTGTACATGCAAAAGGGAGTTTTTATCTCTCACTAGAATTCCTTCAGTATTCTTTGTAGGGTTGGCTTAGTGGTCATCAATTCCTTCAGGTGGGGCAGAGGGAGATTGCTGAGTGGGGCAGGTAGTTGAAAGGAGGGGAAAAGTAGGGAGCCAACGGCAGGAAAATAGCCAGGCAGACTGCGGCCCCTCCAGGGGGAGAACCACAAGCGGCTCCTGAGATCTGCGCCATGTTGGAACTTAGGACACTGGGAAGCCAAGCAAGCAGCTCCCCTCCCTGGTAAGCAACAGTGAACCTAACTGGTGCACGGCCTAGAGTCAAACATCCCACTTCCCCAACCCCTTTTCTCCTGTCTCCCGTTAGCAAATGGGAACCAGAAATCTGAGCATCTCCTGGGAGGTTGACTATAGCAAATGAGGGGGACTTCCTTCTACCATCTCTTTGAAGGCAAATATTTTTATTACTGTTTTGCTCTATTCTGATTAATGGTACTGCTCTATTCAATATTCTGTTTTGGTAAGTTCTATAATGTTCTGTATTTCATTTTATTTTGATATACGTGATTGAAAGAATAACTATTGTAAAGATAACGAAATATACTGTGATACTTATTGCTGTCATCCCAGTAACCTGCTGTGAAGTTCAGTACCAATTTCACTCCACTGTCTCAGTTGGCCTTATTCTGTCTTGATCTGTTGTGTTGGGAGCCGCGGCCGAGCCCGGTCGCCTTACTTGGCGGACGTGAGGCCTGTAAGAAAGAGCAAAGCCTGAGCTAGATTACCCCTCCCATCGAGTGTGCTAAGATGGCGCTTATCTCCTGCTTCCTGCTTGGTAAACAACCTGCTCTGTAAGATAGTCTGCCTAGCAACAACTGATGTTAGCCAATCAGCCCGCATCGCGCGCTTTGAACTGATTGGCCACTGTAACCCTATAAAAGTGAGTGCCTCTCCCGCCACGAGAGGAGAAGCACGGAAGGAGCCGCGGAGAGCGGACCGGTAGAGGCTCCGGGACAGACTGTAGAGAAGAAGCACGGAAGGAGCCGCGGAGAGCGGACCGGTAGAGGCTTCGGGACAGACTGTAGAGAAGAAGCACGGAAGGAGCCGCGGGGAGCGGACCGGTTGAGGCTTCGGCCGGGTAGGATCCCGGGGCAGACTGTGCGGAGAAGGAAAATAAAGAGAGCCTAGCCACTGCCAGATCTTGTCGTGTGTTCTTCCTGCCGGCCGGGAGCGACTCCGACAACTGGTGGCCCGTATGGGGACTGATCAACCCCGAGACGCGGCGGTGGACTGCATTCTCCAGTACGGTGCTGCAGGACAGGTGAGTAGAGGATAAGCCTGGGCCCTGGGTGGCGCGCACCTACAGGGTTTTTAGACTCCTCTCAACCTCACGCGTAAGTGGCGGGTTTCTTGGGCATCACGCGGTGAGTATGAAACATAACACCAGAACTTAAGGTAATAAAAGAGTGTAAAACATAAACATAGAAGTAAAAATAACAGAAGATATATTAAAAATGGGAAACATGCCAAGTAAAGATACACAGCCTTGGTGTTGGTCCTTCGGAGACTCCTAAAGTCCAAGGACCTCAAGGTGGGGCGTAAGACTCTAGAAAATTTCCTTGCAGAAATTGACAGCATTGCTCCCTGGTTTCTGCCTATAGGGCATGTAAACCTACCCTCCTGGGAAAAGTTGGGCAGAGACCTTTCCCTAGCAGAACGGGAGGGTAGAGCTTCGGTCTCTGCTCGTCCGTTGTGGGAAATGATACACGCGTGCCTAAAGAGTGAGGGTAGTTACGGGGGGAGCTCTCAAGAACTTGTAGAAGTACGCAAGGTGTTTGAACAGGCACAGTCAGGAAGCTCCCGAGAAGGGTCCATCAAGGAGGGCAGAGATACAAAAGAGGAAGCCGAGGCGCGGTTTGTGTCTTTCCGCAGGGACCGGGACGAGAACCACTGTGGGTCCCAGAGAGGTTGACGCGTACGACAAGTCCCTCGACTGAGGATCAGGCCTGTTCCACCAGAGGCCAACCGCAGACCCAACAACAAGATGAGCCCTAAAAGAACTGCAGGACAATCCCTTTTTGGGGGCCTGGAACGGCTTGCTCCCCTATGTGCTACCCTCGTATACGCATGGCTCGCTCGCATGGCCTACGACCATGTTTAAAAGTGACAGGCTTCCCACATTCTCCTCCCTAGACAACAACATGTAACAGGGTGGGTGAGTCAATGACGGGTAAGAGCGTGCCTCCCCAGCACGACTCAACCTAAGCCAGGCCCTACCCCATGGCGCACGAAAGCCGCTGGATCGCTAGATTCCGCCCCGAATCTAGATGCCTCTCCAAAGGGGATCATAAGGAGAGACGTGAGCGTATGCCTATGTGCACCCAGGTTCCGTCTGACCTATCCCTGGCCCTGGAAAAAAGGACGAGGGCCTCAAGGCCTTGGTGGACCCTGGGACGGCCGCCCGGGTTCCAACCCAAAGGCCTGCGGTGGGCCTCAGATACAGGGCGTAGGCCTCTACGCTCGATCCAGGATGGGCTGCGATGCGCTCGTTCTTGTAAAATAAAATAGGGGGAGATGTTGGGAGCCGCGGCCGAGCCTGGTCGCCTTACTTGGTGGATGTGAGGCCTGTAAGAAAGAGCAAAGCCTGAGCTAGATTACCCCTCCCATCGAGTGTGCTAAGATGGCGCTTATCTCCTGCTTCCTGCTTGGTAAACAACCCGCCCTGTAAGATAGTCTGCCTAGCAACAACTGATGTTAGCCAATCAGCCCGCATCGCGCGCTTTGAACTGATTGGCCACTGTAACCCTATAAAAGTGAGTGCCTCTCCCGCCACGAGAGGAGAAGCACGGAAGGAGCCGCGGAGAGCGGACCGGTAGAGGCTTCGGGACAGACTGTAGAGAAGAAGCACGGAAGGAGCCGCGGGGAGCGGACCGGTTGAGGCTTCGGCCGGGTAGGATCCCGGGGCAGACTGTGCGGAGAAGGAAAATAAAGAGAGCCTAGCCACTGCCAGATCTTGTCGTGTGTTCTTCCTGCCGGCCGGGAGCGACTCCGACACTGTTGTATTTTACTACTATCAAAATTTTTAAAAAATTTTAAAAATGTAAAAAAGAAAATAGCAAGGCAGAGACAAGCCCGTGCATCTTGGCCTAACCATTAATGTAGATGGCCTCAATTCACCAATAAAAAGAAACACAGGCAGATCAGATCAAGAAACAAGATCCATCAATATGCAGCACACAAAAGCATTTAATTTGAAAGGAAATTCATAGACCGAAAGTCAAAGGAGAGAAAACAATGCTCCACGTGACAGGGGACCAGCAAAAAGCAAGAGTAGCTTGCCCATCAACCACAGAATGGATAAGAATGATAGTGCATTTTTACACAACAGAAAGCTACTCAGCTATAAAGGAGGATAATCACGAAGCTCTTGCAGGTAAATGGATGCAACTTGTGGTCATGTTCATGGATGAAACGGTTCAGACTCACATGGGTGAGCATCATGTTGTCTCCCTAGGATAAAAACTGAAGGAGTCTGTGAAATCTAAAATATACACTAGATATTGTGCAAGTGAAAGGGAGGAAATGTCTAAAAAGGGGAAGTAGTAGCTGTTGTTAATTTCCCATTACTTTGTTTTGAAGCCCTGTATCGTTTTCATTGTTCTGTGTTGTTCGGTTTTATTCTGTTTTGTTTTCTTTGATTTTATTGTATCTAAAGGTATGGGCAGCTATTTCAAAGATAACAGGATATATTATGGTAACCATTGTTGATTTCTTATTATCTTATTTTGGATCTCTATATTACTTTCATTGTTGTTTTCTTTTTGATTGATTTTATTCTGCTTTGTTTTGTTTGCTTTTATTATGTCTGATGGTCTGGACAGCTACTTTGAAGGTAACAAGAGATATTATCATAGCTATTGTTGATTTCCTGTTTTCTTGTTTTGAAGTCCTGTATCATGTTCACTGTTTTGTTTTGATTGGCTCTATTCTGTTTTATGTTGTTTGGTCTTATTCTCTTCAAAAAAAAACTGAAAAGGAAAAGGGGATTGGTCCAAAGACACATAGTTTGCCACTGGAAAAGCTGGGACCAGAATTTAAGTTCTCTGACTTCTGCATGGATGACTTGTACCCTATACAAAAGCTACTAAAATAAAAATATAAAAGAGGCTCAGATAGACTTATTTTAAACTCACAGATGCCCAAGATTTAGACATCAACAAGGAGCTGGTATATACTGAGATCCTATTCATGGAAAAAGAGGTGCCTCTTTTTATATTATGCCTACTGCCCTTGTCAATTGTGTTTCTCCAAGCAATTCAACCTCGTTTACACCTCAGGGCCTTTGCACTTGCCAGGCCTCACTTCCCTCATATTTTTTCATGGCTGCCTCTTAGGTCAAATATTACTCTTCAAATGTTTTCACTCTTCCTTAACTCAAGGTAATAGTGACCTTTCTAGTCGTTGTCCTTCCCATTATTTGCTGGGTGTTGTCCCAGCACATCATTGTCTGAGATAGTTTAGGTCACATACGTGTTTACTGATTCATCAGCAGTTTCGCCAGGAGACCAAAAACTCCTTGAAAGTGGATACCTTGCTTGCTGTGGGCAGTGCTTGGCACATAGTAGGTGCTTAGCAGAGCACTGAATCAACAGAGCCCCCAGCTCCTGACTGCTGGTCCTGTGAGTCTTCCTCCACCCCAAAGGTGTCTACACTACATCAGGGCTGTCCCCTTAGGGAGCTCGGGGAGGGACAGGGCCTGCAAGCCTCGTCCTTTGAGAGTGGTGTGGCTCACTGCCTCTCAAATCCACTTGGCCAAGTCCCTCCACTTCTCTGGACTTTGTCTTCTCTCAAAAACGAGGTCCTGCAGAAACTGATGGCTCTAAGCCTGGCAAAGTCTGCAACTGCTGCTGCTGGATCATCATGTTTGCCCCCAGAACTGGAAAAGAGGAATCAGGCTTCCTTCTACCTTGTGGGTCTTAAAATTAGCAGGCCCTGAGGGGAAATAAGGACTTGGAAAAAAAACCCACCGGCTGTCATATGGATGAGGATCGCACAGGTGAGAAGTAACATGCACATGACGGCCTCTTGCCCAGAGGAAGCCTCTCAGCCGGACGGAATCAGGCCCAGACCTGCAGGGCTGGCATCCTGGGGGCAGGAACCTGGGCACAGCATTGCCCCTCAGCCCTGTGCACTGTCCTCTCCATGCCCAGCTGGAGCCCTCGCCCTTTGTGACTGGCTCCGAGGACAATGAAGTGCAAACTCCTCTCCAACCCTTCAGTCTATGTGCTCTGGGCTTGGGCCGGGGAGTCACAGCCTCCCTCTGGCCCTCACTTTCTTTTTTCTTTTGTTGTTTGTAAAAAATTTTTCTGAACCAAACAAAATTCCATCACAAAATCATAAAAGAATAACAATCATTAATACACTGTATAGTGCTATCTTTAGAGTACAAAACATCAACAAAAAATGTTCTCACAAAGAAGAAACAAACAGATATTAGCTCAAAATTTGCTTTTCAATGAACTGAGAGATTAATAGTATAAATTAAAAAGTTATCATGTACATTAAAATATTTTTGAAACAACAGGATAGGTAATTTGGGAAACCACCTGAATCTCTCTGTTTCTTATTCTCCAGTATATTTATGTATTTCTCATATAAGAGAAACCATGTAATACTTAAGCTTGTGTATCCGAATTATTTCACTTAACATTATGGTCTCAAATTTCATCCATTTACCTATAAATTCCTTAGGTTTATCTTTCTTTTTTTGTTTGTTTCTTCTTCTTCGTCTTCTTTTTTTATTGGTACCTGGGATTGAACTCACAACTGCACGCTTGCAAGGCCGGCGCTTATGCCGCTGAGCTAAATCCCCAGCCCCAAGTTTATTTTTCTTTATGGCAGCATAGTACTCCACTGTGTATAAATATCATATTTTTCTTATCCATGTCTTAGTTACCTCTTTCTTTTTCTTTCTTTCTTTCTTTCTTTCTTTCTTTCTTTCTTTCTTTCTTTCTTTCTGACTCCACTCAGGAAAGAATGCACCAAACATATTCACACTTACTTTCTCTGTTTTTATTAAAGCAAATAACAAGGACCCAGTTTACCAAATTTTATAAACCTAAGTTTAACATCAGATATTTAAAGAGTTAAACCTTTACTGGGTTGCCAGCATCCATGCACATCTAGAAAACATCTTAAACTTATATTTAACCAGAAATACATTACCATGGATGAAGGAATATTTTTGCTGAGAAGACGGAGACTATTTCTGTGGAGGACGCATCCTGGCAGTGTTAGCATCACAGCAGGCGGACAGTACTTAGCTCATATTTCAATGTGAAGGAAAGCAGGTCCAGGCTGGCCTGAGAGCACAGTCTTGTCTCCGCGCTACCCAAGGGGCAAGTGTCACCTTGGATCGTGTTGAATAAAAAAGTAAAGCGAATTATACTGAAAGTTAAGTTTGTTTGAAATTTTTTAAAAACGTTCCTGTTAATCCTCAAATAGTGCTGTTTAGTCTAACATTTCTGTTAAACATGTGCATTCAGTTACTTGCTATCTAATTATAGCAACTGCTTCTTAATATTTATCATTAAGGGGCTGGGGATAAGCACCACTTGACAAGCGTGAGGCTGTGAGTTCAATCCCTGGGTACCAAAAAAAAAATCATTTACCATTAAGGACTTTAATGATCCATCTTCTTCAACATCCACTCTTTCTTGACCATCTCGACCATTCTCGTTATGGTGATTTTTCTGCCGCTAATGATTTTAGTAGAACTGACATAGATTTGAAGTTGCCCATCCCACTGCTGCCGAATGATGTGGGCAAGAATGAACCAAAGCCCGGTGCACAGAGGCCTGAATGAAGTAAATCCTGTATCGATAGAAATCCACCTCCAAAAGATGGATTCACTGCAGATAGAAAAAAGGAGTCCACACCGCAGCTTCTGCTTCCTGAGGGACCCTGTCAGTTCTCCAAGCAGGTCTTCAAGTGGGTCTTTGAAGAAGTCAAGTAAAAACTCCCTGTAGACACCATCCAGAGGGCTGGGGAATTTAGCTCAGCAGCATAAGCGCCTGCTTTGCAAGCAGGCAGTCATGAGTTCAATCCCCGGTACCAATAAAAAAAAAAAGAAAAGACACCATCCAGTTCTGGAATGTGAAGCCAAACTCACATGGACTGTTGAAATGACTTTCTCCTCCTCCACCACGGAATGCTTCTTGGCCATGTTTGTCTGAGTGTGTCATTTTTCAGCATCTGATAATACATCGTATGCCTCAGCTACTCGTTCGAATATTCACTGTTTTTTCTTTTTTCTCAGGATATTTGTCTGCATGTCACGTTAGGGCCAGTTTCCAAGATGCCTTCTTGATGTCCTTGGGTGAAGCACATCTCTGCACACCAAAGCTCCACAGTCACCCACTGGGTTTGACAGGTTGTTGGAACAAGGGCACAGATGTCCATCTGCAAGCAAGCAGATGAGCAGGGGTGCAAAGAAAGGAGGGAGACTGGCGGCTCCTCATGCTTTTCTTTCTCCCTCATTTTCTTTTGATCAAAGCCAGTGGTGCCTTCTGCATAGCAGCCCCATCCTCATGGTGCTGAGGACACAGTAGTGACCAAAACACACAAGGATCTTGGCCCTCTCAGAGCCCGCGCCCTGATGGGGAGAAACCAACACCAACCACGGAGTTTAGTAACTGAGTCAGTGATGTGAGGAGGTGACACGTGCTGAGAGAAAACAGCAAAAGCAGGCAGTGCAAGGAAAGCGGGTGCTTCTCCTCTCCCCCTTCCTGTGAGATGGAAATTCTGGGTTCTCAAATCATCACGCTAGAAATGGGCTACAGATGGCAGACATGTCAGAGACTGGCTAGATGTTCTGGAAGCACAGCAACACATTTCCCAGCCTCTCTTGCAGCTAGGTGTGATCACGTGATCCAGTTAGTCAGTAGGATATGGATCTCTTTGACACCTAAGCCATAAATGTACACCTTCCCTTTTATGTCAAATCTTTA